GATTGCAATTTAAGGAAATAATTCAACAGCAGAAATGACCTTCGTGTGTCCCAACAGAACAAAAATATAGTCTAAACATGATTTTTAATATGGATTCCAGCTCAATTACTCTAACAAGTAGGAATTTCATGAATACCAACAAGGTTTGATAACTACATGGTACTACGGAAACAACCGTGTCACAATTACCATGGTACACACCCACACACCCGTCACCTAGCATGTGTGTCACCTCAACACCAACCACATAACACATAGTTCAGGGATTCATGCCCTCAGTAAAAATTATGGAAGTGTTACTTACCTCAAACCGTGCAAATCCCTACTCCAACAAGCCCTTGCCTCACGAATCAGCCTCCGAACAACTCGAATCTAGCCACAAATAACTTAATACAATCAATACAAGCTATAGGAATTGCTTCCACACGATAAAGCTAAGTTCTTCAACCAAAATTAAAAGTTAACCCAAAAAGTCAACCCCAGGCCTACGTCTCGGAATCCAACAAAATTTTACAAAATCCGAACACCCATTCAATAACGATTCCAACCATACAAAAATCACCCAATTTTGACCTCAAATCGCCACTCCATCCCCAAAATTTGGTCTATGAAGTTTCACAAATTTTCCCCAAATTACACCTTAAAAACACATAGGCATAGAAATCAATGGGTATTCAATAATAATGAGTACAAATGATCAAGATTTGCTTACCTCTTCAATATAGGTGAAAACCTCTCCAAATATCACCTAGGTCCACACCCCAAAATCTCAAAATGAGAAGAAGACTCAAACCCTCAATTTTAAATATCTGCCGAGCCATTTTCGCTCCTGCGGACTCACCAGTCGCACCTGCAGCTCCGCTTCTGCGGAAGTTAGTTAGGAACCCGACCATCCGCACCTGCGGCCCAAGACTCACACCCGCGAGACCGCTTCTGTGGTCCGCTCCTCGCTTTGCGTATCCGTGCCTACAAATTTTAATCTGCTTCTACGAGTCCAGCCCCATCCATCAAAATCTGCATATGCGGAGACTCTATGCAGAAAATACCTTGCACCTGCGACCACTGCCCAACACCCACAGGAGCGTTCCTACAACCGCATGCTTGCTACTGTGGTCCTGCACCTGCGACCATTCCTTCGTAGGTGCGATCGCACCAGACTAGTAGCAGATCTGCAACTCCTTAAGTCTGCTACTCATTCCGATATCAACCCGAATCACTCCCAAGACCCCCGGGACCCCATCCAAACATTCCAACACATCTCAAAACATCATACAAACTTAGACGAGGCCTCAAATCATGTCAAACATTATCAAAAACATGAATCGCACCCCAATTCAAGCCTAATGAAACTAATGGATTTCCAACTTCTACAATCGATGCCGAAACCTATCAAACCAACTCCGATTGACCTCAAATTTTGCACACAAGTCATAAATGAAGCAACGAGCCTATTCCAACTTCTGAAACCAAAATATGAGGCTAGTAACAACAAATTCAACTCTCGATCAAACTTCTCAACTCTTCAAATTTCAACTTTTCCAACTTTCGCCAATCCAAGCTTAAAATCATCTATGGACCTACAAATCAATATCCGGACACACTCCTAAGTCCAAAATCACCATACGGAGCTATCAAAATCATCAAAACTACATTTTGCAGCCATTATCCCATAAGTCAATATCCGATCAATTCTTCCAACTTAGGCTTCCAACTTTGGGACTAAGTGCCCCAATTCATTCTGAAACATCCCCAGAACCAAACCAACCACCCTAGTAAGTCACATAACAAAAAATGAACATAGAATAAGTAATAGATGGGGAAATAGGGCTATAATACTTAAAATGACCGGCCGAATCATTACAACGAGTATAGAGAATGTACCAGCATTCTAGCTGCATGCTACCACCTCGTTCATGGTAGTTTATGAATTATGCTTTTGTTTACGTAAATTTCAAAAGATGATGTAAACTTTCTTCATATTAGAGTTATATTCTTATTCTTAGTCACTTATGGATTGTACTACCAGTCATTGGGATAGCTTTTTTTAAGCAAATATACCACTAGGCAGGCCGCCTAGTGGCTAATATGTAAATAAAATTCCAAACTTAGGGCCAAAGCTTACAAGATGTCCAAATCTAAATATAAATTGCACAAAACCACTAGCTACTAGAAAGATGAAAAAATCTAATGAACTAGCTATTACAAAATGATAAGTTGAATGCTTCATTCTCCAGTCAGTGTATGTGAATCCAATAGCCAGGGGAAAATACCAAGCAACACCTATCAAGCTCTCACCAGGCGCCATGATATGCATTTCATTGGAAATGGATATGGCTAGCATGAATTCAAAATATTTACACCATTGAATTAAAGCAAGAAAAATCTTCTAACCATCAATGTTGCTCCAGAATGAACAACTCCATATAGTTTTCCAGTTCAAATCAAGGCAGTATACTGAATTTGCCCAAAGCATCTGATAATTCCTCTACTCACTAAACAAGGATAACATGTATAGTGCATTATCATCTCCAGAATGAGTATTTGAACACACTAATACCACTGGAGAATGACAACAATACACAATATAACAGAAAGAGCAGTAGATAATGTGATGAGTTGTGAAACTACATCGCATTGTGTAATGTGTGCAAGCAATGCACGAAAAGAGACCAAAGTGCAGTAGAAGCTTCATGTGTAAGGTTGAACCAAGCAATTATAATGTGTATTGAAATACCTTCCGATACCATTGGATCCCGGCTTTGATTTTTCAGAGTAACCTGCAACATTGTAGTGCACAGTGCATCCAACATTATGATCCTACATATGGATGTGCAAAGCACATACCTACTATTCATCAGTGTATTGCCATGCGATTTTATGTGATAAAACACCACCTGCCTTGCCTTAACTGATCCATATAACATTAGAATGTCCCCAGAATGAGCATGAAAACATGGTAATACCACTGAGAAACACCCTAACATTATACAGTATATAGCAACAACAAGTAATACAAGGCCAGGCAATTTTAGTTAAGGGTTTTTCATCAGTCATGAGCTTTTCTTTTATCCACTCTCACCCTCAAATTAGATGTTTGTGATTTGTCAAGATTGATTTGTCTCCTTCCTGCACTAGGCAGTTCAGAAAAAGAGTGAAACTGAATAGTACCTGCAAAAGAGAAAACAAGGTTAGCTAAAAAATCTGCCACTGTGTTGTCCTCCCTTAGGACATGTTGAAAGATCACATTGTAATTCTCCTTTATCTCCTTAATCTTCTTCACTTCCTTCCTAATGTTCCAAGGTATCTCCCATTCACCTCAAATAATCTTCTTCATCGCCAAGGAATCTGTCTTAATAATGAGTGGATGAATCTGCCTTTGAACAAAGTATGAGAGCCATTCAACTATTGCCCTTGCCTCAGCTACTACATTAATTGAAATCCCTATTTCTTACGCCTTTGCAATTACCACATCTCCATTATCATTACTCACACAGAAACCATAAGAACTTGGCCCAGGATTCCCTCTAAAAGCACCATTAGTGTTTCAGTTATACCACCTCTCATAAGGTAGCTCCCAGGTAATTATTAACAACATAAGGCTTGTAGCCTTCAAAGTACCTGACCATTTCTGGCCACAGTAAGGAGATATTAGTCAACCAAGGATACATAACTCTAGCTAAAAAGTGTAGAGTTTTTTTCACCTCATGTACAACCCTATGAAAAGATACTGCACCTCCTCCATGCTTCATTGAATTGCTCCTCTTCCAAATCTCCCACGTAATAATGGCTGGAACTGCTTGAAATAAAGGCTTGAGCTTAGCACAACATTTTTCACTCCACCATGCTCTAATAACCTGATGTACTTGTACTAGATTAACCACCAGTCCTGTAGTTTGCAAGAAGACTTTCCATACCCTACTAGAAACATCACTCGTAAGGAAAATATGTTGGAAAGTTTCTTCTTGTGGTGGTAAGCAACACCAACACTTAGAAACAGTTAAGTGGCCCGCTATCCTCCATATATCATCTGTTGGCACCTTTACTCTCCAAAGCCTCCATAGGAAGAAAGAGATCTTAAATGGTAACCCCTTTGTCCATAGCAGCTCGTATTCTGGATTTGGATGAACCCTATGCCTCATTATTTGCCAAGCACTACCTACTGTAAACTTGCCTGAAGATGTTGGCATCCATTTAGGTGTGTCCCAGAATTCATCAATGTTATCAAAATATACGTCTTGCCTTATATGTTCAGCAATATCTTCTGGAAAATTCTCCTCCAATATTTGTTCATTCCATCCATCTTCATATCTCAATTCTTCCACCTCCCGTAACTCATTAATATTGAACTCTGGTGGTAATACATGATACAATTCTCCAAGACTAGTCCAATTATCATGCCAAATATTTGTAGAGCTCCTATTCATTTCCCACAAAATTTCATGTTCCACCTCTTCTCTAGCCTCTAGCATTTTCCTCCACACATGTGATCCTTGCCTAAATTGAACCACAGTTGGAAGCTCCTTTTGCAATATTTGTTCCGCATAAAGTTTGACCAATAGGATTTTGATGTCCTAAGCCTCCACCACAACTTTGCAAACATGGATTTGGATACATCAAATAAAGATATGAACCCTAATCCTCCTTCTTCTTTTGGTAGACATAAATTGAGCCACTTAGTCTAGTGCCCGCTCCTACCTTCTTCCTTAGTACTCCAAAAGAATCTAGCAAACATCTTGTGCAAATGTTCAAGCACATTATTAGGAGGATCCAACACTGAAAGGATGTGAGTTGGTAAGTTTGCAACACACTAGTAATAAGTGTAGTTTTGCCTCCTAAGGATAGTAATTTTCCTTTCCAAGAATATAGCCTTTCTTCACCTTTTTATTGAGATCATTGTAATAATCTTTGCTCCTTCTTGTATAAAAGATTGGACACCCTAGGTAAGTGAAAGGGAAGTTGCCTCTCTAAAATCTAGTTATAGCCCCAACATTATGAAACAACTATCCTGCTACATTAGCATGCATGAAATATGAGCTCTTTGACTTATTGATCAGCTGTCCAGATGTTTGCTCATACAGTGTAAGGACTTCAACCACTTTGCTCAATGAATATGGATCAGCAGAGGAAACTATGATTGTATCATCAGCATATGCCAAATGGTTCAAACGATCAGACCATTTTGGCATACCAAATCCTCTAAACTTCTTGTCTTCAAACAACTTGTTCAATGATCTTGATAGAACCTCAGCAGAAAGAATAAAAAGGCTGGAGACAAAGGATCCCCCTGCTTCACCCCTCTTGTAGACTTAAAAAATCCATATGCTTGCCCATTTATAAGTACCGAATACCAATTGTTTGCCAATAGATTCCAAATCATGTTAATGAATTGCTCAGCAAATCTCATCTTCCTCACTACATGAAGTAGATACTTCCATGACACCCTATCATAAGCCTTGGCCATGTCTAACTTAATCACAACATTAGCAGGCTTCCCCCTTAGTCTAATATCTGTGACAATTTCTTGTGTGAGCAATATATTTTCAAAGATACTCCTCCCCTTCACAAAGCCAGACTGATTGGCAGAGATCAAAGAAGGAAGAATCTTCTCCAATCTATCATGAAGTTACTAAGACTTATAGGCCTTAGATCTAGAAAGTTTGAACCTGAGGCTTTTTGGGCATAAACACAAGATTTGTGTGTGTTACTTTGGCAAAGATGCACCTCCATAGTACTCTATTAGCAACCTGAAGATGTCCTCCCCTACAATATCCCAACAATGCGGGTAAAAAGATCCAGTAAAACCATCAGGACCACTTGTACTATCTCCACTTAGTGCAAATACTGCACTCTTAACTTCATCAATGGTAGGAAACTTGCAAAGCTCCAAATTCTGTGACATAGTTACGATATTAGGCATATTGTTCAGAAGCTCAAAAGTTGTAGAATCCCCTTCTCGTGTAAATTGTTTTTGGAAGAAATACACTGCAGTATTAGCCATGAGATCTTGAGACTCCAACCAATCACCATCTCCATTCTGAATTCTTTTGAGTTGCAATTTCTGTCTCTTGCCATTCACATGGTTATGAAAGAACCTTGTGTTTCTGTCTCCTTCAGTAAACCAATTCATACCAGCCTTTTGCTTCCAATATTGCTCCTCAATGCTCAAGTATTTTTTCTATTGAGCTTGTGCTTTTTGAAGGATTATTCTGTTCCCTACTATTGGTTTTTCTTCAAACAACATCTCTTTTATTCTAACCACATCTTCTCTAATAGCCAACTGCTTGAATATATCACCATAAGTTAGTTTACTCCATTTAGAAAGAGCAATCTTAACCCTCTTCAACTTTTGCTTGAACATCAAGAATAGATCTCCAATGAAATCAGCCATCCAATTCTGCCTATCAACCTCCATAAAGGTTTCATGTTTTGTACAGAAATTCAAGAACTTGAATGATTTCACAAATTTCATTGCCTCCTCTCCACAACTCATCAAGAGTGGAGCATGATCTGAGCCAGTTCTGATGAGATGCTCTACCTCTATATTAGGGAATAGGTTTCAGAAGAGAAATTTCACAAGTATTCTATCCAACATTTTGAAGGTGCATTGTTCATTAGGCCATCCATTCCACCAAGTGAAAGGACTGCCCTTAAAGCCAAGATCAAACAGTCCACAAGAATTTATACAAAAAGCAAAATCTTCATATTCTGGAGGATATACAGGCAGTCCTCCTATCTTCTCTTCCTCATCAAGAATAACATTGAAATCCCCCCAACCAACCCAGGCAATTTCATATCACTAGCTAGATAATATAGATTGTCCCACAACTCTAACCTTTCCAATGAGGAACATTTTGCATACACAAAAGTCATCATAATGTGCTTACCTATATCTTGATGATATATCCTAATAGTCAACTGCTGTTCATTATCACTCGACAAATCCTATTCCACCATATCTTCCCATTCACATTTGAGATTGCAACTTCCATTCCTAGCCTCCTTCCATACCTCTGAATATATCTTGTCTTTTAAAATGGCTCCATTAGTGCAATAATGAAAAGCCATATTCCCTTGAATATTTATAACCCTCTGAAAGGCCTGCTGAGTCTTAACAGACCTTATGTTCCATATTAGAGTTTTAATCATTATCTTGTTGTTGAGGCTGCCCTCTTGGGCAAAATTCTAGTAGGTAGTTGTGGCTCCTTGGCTTGTGTTTGCTTTTTTCCTTTCTTTCTACTTTTACCTAAAACTGTAGGTGACAAATACCTTCTCTTGCTACAGCTTTAAAATTCCCAGTAGTGGATTCATCATCACCTTCATCTTCATATTGTTGTTGTTGATCTACCAACTCATTCTGAATGTTCACAGGCAGCTCCTTGTGAGTGATTATATCATGTAATATCTGATTCAGAGACTTCAAAGGTACACTGATTTGTATCTACATTGATGATACAGTTCCAGAAGCATATGCTATAGGCACTGCCTCAATTGCATCTGAATTCCTGGGTATTATGGTTTGCTCAATCTGATCATGTGCCTTTCTTGTGGAATCCTTCAATGTCTCAACATTTCTTTCCATCCTCCCCGGATTCTTCTGCATCACTTTGAATTGAAGATCATAGATAGAACCCAAACTAGGGTTCACTGTAGCATAATTCCCAGAAAACACTGTTCCATTGAGATCACCACCATTTTCATCGACTTTTTGGTAGTCTGACCCCACTGTATCCTTCAATATCTCCATATTAACATCCCCAACATGGTCCCTCCTTAAAGCATACACTGGAACCCCATCAACAGTGGCCAAAATCTCACTAGAATTTTTAGGGTTTACTGTTCCATTGGCCTGTTTCTTGGTTAATGGTGCAGTAGCTGATACCACATGATTTCCTGCTTCTTTTGATGTCCCTCTATCATCTCGAGCTGGTGGATATGCTTCCTTGACCTTAGAACTCGAATGATCATCAACCCTAGTTTTTGAATTTCTAGGGTTTACTGTAGCTAGAGCCAAACTGCCTGTTTTTTTTTATCTGATTGTTACCCTTATCCTCTTTGCCTCCTGTTGCATTTGTTGAGCCTATCTGAGCTTCCATTTCATCAGCTTCATCACTCTATAAAGTTTTCCCAGTATTTACTTCATTAAGCTCCTCCAATTGTCCTGACTCCTCATACGTTTGTGAAGGTACTTCATGGAATGATTCATTGATTGTCACATTGAGCGCCCTTAATTCCTCCTTTCTATTACCAAACCTTCTATGCATCCACTCATTTGTAGACTCTTTATTAACCCCCTCATCAATCCCTGCCTCAATAGGAATAGAGGAACTAGACTTAGCTAATTCCCGAGTACCTTTCACACCTGGCGATTGAATCCCTGTTTGAATAGGCTTCATATTATTTTCCTTATTAGCTGCGTCACCTGCTTCCTTCTTGACACACCTAGCTGCCATATCAATCCCAGTCCCACTAGGTTTAGGACTTAGGGTACCCTCCTGATTGTCCTTACCATGGTCCTCAACCCTAATCTTTGCATCATTAGGATTGATATTTTCCTCCCTTAGCTGCTGAAATATTCCCAGTCCCTTTAGGATTAGAAGTGGAATTTTCCTTGTTATTCACCTGCTCCCTCTCCTGATCCTTCTTAGATTTATCTTCTTGTTGCTTCTTGTGTTGTTCATTGTTGCTATTATTTCCTTTGCCATCAGTGATCATCAACATTGGTGGAGCCTCAACCTCCAATGCATTAAATTTGTTCTTTGTAGTTACTGCCTCAAACTTAGCCTTTCCCTTGCCATTGTTAGGATCTTTCTCCTTTGTGTTTTCAATGATATAACCCCTCTTATCATGTTGATATTTATTTTTCCTTTCTTGTATCCACTCCTGCCTATCTTGATTAGCAATAGGTTTCCCTACAACTTTGCCACTCATTAACACATTTGTAGAAACACCAGCTATGCCAATTACTTCTTGCTCATTTTTCTTATCATTGCCTTGATCCTCAAACTGCCTCAACTCTGGATTAATAACCCAGCACTCATCTTCCTTGTGACATTGTTTCTTGCATGACTTACAATACTTAGGCATATAATCATACCTAATTTTGATCCATTTAAACTCCTCAGGTCCAGACTCATCCTTCTCCTCTACCATTTTAATCATTTGAGGAAAATTTGATAACAAATTCACCTCAACATTCACTTTAGCACAGCTCGGACGAGTGCCATTTTGAGTAGTCAAGTCCACATGAAGTGGCCTTCCTACTGCCCTAGCTAGAGAGAACACAAACTCCTTGCCAAAGAAGTTAGGTGGTAAATCTTGAAAGGAAGTCCAAGCAATGGAAACATGAGTTTCCTCACTAGGTTTCCACCATGGATTCCACTTAGTACAACGCATCTGCCATATCTCATTTTGTATTTTCAAATAAAAAGCAGGCTTAGACAAAAGATGAATATAATCCTCCATTTATGAAAGTTTAATTAACACATGAATATATTTTATCAATCCAACTGAGCACTGCCCTTTAAGTTCACATTGAATCGGAATAGTTTTACGTAGATCATGAATCCCAAGTTTACCATACGAGAATTTTCCCAATACTACCATGTTCAATCCGTGTTGTGCAATGGATTGACGAACTTCCTGCTTCTTCCAATGTACAATGGTCTCACCATGAAGGTATTCAATAGGTTTTAGGGCTACGCTTGGTTGCAACTACATGGGCGCATTTAATGAAGTAGGCTGTATTAGATTTGCATAGGTTTGTACTGGATTAGGGTTTGGAGATGTTGTTTGGGGCTGTGGGGAGGGTGAAGAAGACTGACCAACCTCAGGAGGAGGCTGGCCAGTGGCCGGAAAAGCCATTAAAGGCCTCAAGCGAGCTTCGTGGGCGGTCTTCGCAAATCACATGTCGCTAGAGCTGGGTAATTGATAAATCAACTTCCAGTCATAGGGATAATTATATGGATTTTTACATTTTTTATTATTTATTTGATGATTTCCAGTTTGGATTATTGCATATTTTAGTTGGTTTACTTAGCGGGATGAGTTAGGTATTATCACGACTTGGTGGTATTTTGGGTCGTTACATGAGCCTCCTGCTCCGTAATTGTTCAACAGTCCCCCAATCTCCAAATATCTTTGCATTGAATTAGGGATTTCCACAATTAAATTGGTTCTTGGTTATGGAGTTGGCAACCCGTTGGTCATGCTACTCGTTATGGTCCTCAATACCTCCCTGATTCGATTGTTCCACTCTTATTAGTGAGTCACGAAGTTTTTAAACTTTTCTTCTATACTGGAATGTTCGTCATCTCCATTGGTGGATCTCTCCGGTGAATTTTCATGGGGCCATGTTAGAAAATATAGGTAAGTAACAGAGAATTAAAGACTTTGAGGCCTGAAAGATCACTATCTTTCAAGAGTAATTGCCTGTATGTATTTTAGGGACTACAAGCAATTCTCTATCAGGATACAACAAAGCCAGAACATACGTGCAGATTGAATGTTCTACTTCCGGGATGTCTTCCGTATTTATAGAAAAGAAAAGGAGACTTTTCTGAAGAGACGCCCCTTTTCACGAATAACCACAACTCTTTTTTGTTTCTAATTTTAAATAACAAAAAGCTGTTCCAAATAAATACGAAAAATAAAATCTTTATTTAAAGTTCGACCCGGCCCGCGCCCAAGCCCCGAGTCCAAGTCCAAGTCATTTATATATATATATATATATATATATATATATATATATATATATATATATACATATATACACATATTCTTTTAAATATGTCAATTGTTCATTTTATTGGACTTAATGGGCCAAGCTTTATAAAGACAATTAAATGACTTTATTCCACCTGTGTGGAACTCCTTACTCCTACATTTACAAACTATTCTAATAATCCCCCACTAGTTTGTAATATGTCTCATAATATCATGCATATCGAAAAGTATCTTATATAGATTTGAACTTTTCNCCAACGACCCAACGTACCAACGTACCAACGTACATTTGTATATATATATATATATATATATATATACACATATTCTTCTAAATATGTCAATTGTTCATTTTATTGATTTAATGGGCCAAGCTTTATAAAGCCAATTAAATGGCTTTTGTCC